GCCCAGTTTAGGGAAGGCAAAAAAAAAAGTCCCAATACACCACATGAAGCCACCGTGATGCTGTGTGTTTGACACCCTTGTTTTACAGCTTCTGGTGGTGATGGGTGCTCCTCAGAAGAGGCTTTAAGAATTTCCAGGCCTCTTAGCTAACTTACGAGGTTAATTGAGGAACTGTGCAGGTTGAATGAGCTTGCTAGCAATGTACAGTGCGTTATAAGCCAGAGATGGTTAACCTTTTCAGCGCCAAATGCTGAAACTGGAGCATGCGTGTGTGCACCCCAGAGTGCCAGAACCAGGAAGAAAGCAGCTGGCTGGTGCTCATGAACAGCGGCCAGATGCTCTTCTAGGTTCCATCCCACTATGTGTGTATGCATGTGCACCAGCTAGCTGCTCTCTCCTGGGTTCTGATGCACGCATGTGCGCCAAGCAGTGGCCTTCTGGGTTCCATCCCGTATATGTGTGCTGGATAACTGTTCTGGCATGCATGCACACCAGCTAGCTGGTCTTCGTAAGACCACTGGCCAGCGTGCATGCATGCACTGGAACCCAGAAGAGAGCAGTTGACCATTGTTCGTGTGCATGATGGAACCAGGAAGAGCAGCTGGTGCACGTGCCCATAAAGAGGACACGGCATGCCACCTCTGGTACATCAGCCAATATAAGCCAATATTTGCAAAGCAGTTGTAAAATATAAATAACTAGCTAGATGTGATCACAGCTATAAGGTTTTACATCTTTGTCTTTTAAAAGCAGATCTCCTCATCAATTGCCTGGGTGGCTCATAGCTACCTTGTTATAGTGAAACTGATTTCTACCTCACAGAGTTTTTAAGAGTTTGTTATGTTGTGGTGCCATCTACTGATTTCTTATTAAATGCTTTTAGAAAACTCAAGGGAGAATAAAGATAGCAAAAAGAATAACCCAATGACTGTCCTCTAGTTACTGTACCTTTCACAGCTGAATAACGGTGTATAAGTATTAATAAACTTTATATCCCAGCACATAGTATATAAATCTTACATGCACATGTGGACATACGGTATATTCACAACACAGAAATGCATCAGCTGTATTCTTTCTCTGCCCCTGTCTTTCTGTGTGGCTACTTTATTCTGGATCTGGCGGTATCTGTGTAGGTAGTTGATTGTGCTGGACTCATCCCTCATAATTAAATCATAATTTGGTTTATTTGTTTGGGGTTTAACATATAGTCACCGTGGTTTGTGAGTTATGCTTTATTGTGATCTAATGAAGGAAATCATGAGATGCAAGTGGTGCTCAATTTAAGACTGTAATTACGACTTCAGTTCTAAGCCATCATGGTCGTAAAGCCACATAACTAGACCTCTTTTGCAGTGGTCATTGAGCGAATACTGTGGTTGTTAAGTAAATCCATTCTTTCCTTTGGGGCAGTTTTTCCTAAACATCCATTTCCAGAAAAAAATGTCATAAATCTCAGTCATAAGATTGCAGGGCCCTGCAAATAGCTATAAATGCGGGCCCGTTGGTGAGCATCCATCATGTGGTCATGTGACCCCTGGGTGGGGGAAAGATACTGGAACTTTGAATCCAGGTCATAAGTAGATTTTTCGGTGTCTGTCGTAACTTCAAACAATTGCTAAGTAACCAGTCAGAAGTTGAAGATCCATAGTACAATGAGCATATCGGTCTCTGTAGATAACTTGTGTGTGTCTGTTGTGTATACAACGGATGAATGTTTGTGTGGGCACCTATACATTCACATATTTTTCCTTCCCTACAATCAAGAAACTAAAAAGGATTGATTTAATTACCATTTTCTAACCTGGAATCTGATGGTCTGCTCAAAGAGGTTCTTACCTTGAGGTGTGGAAATTTGGAAGGTGCTCAAAGAGGCTTTTACTGTGAATTCTAGGAGAAGGCATTATGAATGACACATTACTCTCTACAGATTCCAGAATGCTGTTTTTAGGTAACACAGTGTTGGCATTATTTAAAGCTGTCCTGTGACTGTCTCATCTCATCTTATTCCATTCAAGCAATAAGACAATCTCTAAAAGCTTGACAGGACTGACAGTGACTTTCCTAAAGTTGAGATAAGAAGTCCTAAGTAAGGGACATATTTTCCCCAGGAACCCACAAGTGAATCCAGTTGTGAACAATCTCAAAACCTTGAGCCTGAACCAGTGTGGATTCTCTTTTGCTAGGCTGTTCATGCAGCGTAGCCTTCCATTTAACTTAAATTTTATTGCGTACTTTAAGTTTTGTTAGCCTCCGTCTTTAAAACAAAAACAGGTTATAAATCAAATATATCATTACATAAGAGGTGAGGAGGGAACTTCAATCAGTTAAAATATTCCTTGGATACAAAGTGGCATCTGAAAGTAATAAAGTTTTCAAAACTGCTTATGTTGGATGAGGTGGGCGCCCTTTATTTCAAATTGAAATTAACCTATGTTAGTATTTTTAACATATATGGACAGAGCTGGACTTGGTTCCCATTAAACCCACAAAGGTATGATGTGAGATTGAGGTCTGCTTATGTTGGAGTTAACTTATTGAATCACAGAGTCTCTAGTCTGAGAGCATCTCATCTTAACAACTATGTCTCGCTCCAAGAGCTCGAAGGAAGGTTTCCATCTGTTGCATGGAAGCTACAATATCATCTTGCATGTCATGTCATTGTCATGTAATAATGTGGATTAAGCACATTAATTACATTTTATATAGTAAGATTGGCCAATGCAGAATACTGGGAAACACTACCCTTCAGTTACATTTAGCCATGTGTATAGATTTCAAATAAAATATATAAATGCATGTATTCATGTCTCCTTTTTCCTCCTTCTTAG